GAGGATGGAGAAGAGGAGGATGAGGATGGGGAAGAGGAGGATGAGGATGGGGAAGAGGATGAGGAAGATGAGGATGAGGATGGCCAAGAGGAAGATGAGGATGAGGACATGGCCACGATGAAGGATGAGGATGAGGACGGTGAGGATGAGGATGGAGAAGAGGAGGATGAGGACATGGCCACCATGAAGGAGGAGGATGAGGACGCTGAGGATGAGGGCGGCCTGGAGGAAGAGGCCTGGCGGTCCTTGCCGAGATGACACCCACTGGAGCCGGGAGAGACCCCGGCTCCTGCTGCGCCCCCTCGGGCCAGCCCCCTCCTTCTCTGGGCTTGTAGAGTCAGGAGGTGGGACGGATGTCCGTCCCTTCGAGAAGCCCCTTTCCCAGCTGGGCCTCAGTTTACTCGCCTATCGGGGGGGGGGGGCATCAGACCCGCGTTCCGCCTCCTCACCTGCCACCTGCCGGCTTCGCTCCTTCCTGGAGCTCCGCGCTGAGGCACGCGCACGCGCACGCACCTACGGAACGCAGGACCGCCGTCCGCAGGCGTAGTGCGCACGCGCACGCACGTACGGAACGCAGGACCGCGGCCCGCGGCGTAGCGCGCACGCGCACGCACCTACGGAACGCAGGACCGCGGCCCTCATACGTAGTGCGCACGCGCGGCGCCGGTCGCGGGACCGGGCTAGGAGAAAACTTCCGGGCGCGACCGGAAGCGGCTTCGGTCCGTTTTTGTTTACGGCCCGCCGGGCTGGCGGCTCCTCGTCGTCTTGCTCGCTGGGCTCGGGCTCGGACTCGGGGCCGGCCGAACGTCCGCCAGCCCCTCTCCTCGTGCTGCCGGTGGGTGAGTGCCAGCAGGGTCAGGGGTCGGGGGGCGCTGGGGGGGGGTCTCCCTGTCGGGTCGGGACTTAGACATCCCCTCATCTTCCTCCTTCGTCCCTTCACATCTTACAGACGGGGAAACAGAGGCAGCCCGCACCCAGCCCCTTCACCGCCTCGGCCTCAGTTTCCCCGTCTGTAAAACGAGGCGGTCACGCCCGCAGGCCGGGGATCTCCTCCCAGCTGACTTTAACAGTTGAGGAAACTGAGCCCCAGAGCGGTGGGGTGGGGCCCACCCTAGGTCTCCTCCCGCTCCTCCCCCTCCTCCCCGTAGCCCAGAGCCTCGTACACAGTAGGTGCTTAAGCAGTGCTCGTTCTGCTTGCGGACACACTTGCCCGTTTAACGGCTTCGGAAACTGAGGCCGGGGGCTGTGTACAGGAACCCGGGGTCCGGGAGAAGGGGGGGGGCAGTGACCGGGGTGCTGGGGACCCCGTAAGTGACCGCAGGAACAGCAGCAGCCGGCCTGCCTGTGACGTCCGGGGTTTGGGGGTGTCACGAGGTTCCCGTTTTACAGATGGGGAAATCGAGGCGGGCGGACGTGAAGGGACTGGCCCAGGGTCACACGGCTAGGACGTCCGAGGCTGGGTCGAGCTCGGAGGCAGCACAGGGGGTGTGGGCTGCAGGCCTGGGGCTGGGGGGTGGGGAGCTCTCAGCCGGCCCAGAGCCCTGCCCCCCCCCCCCAGCTGCCCTGCGGGTGGTCCCCACCCTCCAGGAGGGGCTGGGGGTGTCATGTGTGCACCGGGTGGGGACCGGGACCCACCCTCAGCCTTGGTTCCAGGTTCAGAGAGTGGGTGTCACAGGAATCCTCCTTGGGTCCTCCAGGCTGGAGGATGGGTGGGGGAGGGGTTCCCCGCTGTTAGGCAGGTGTCCGGGATGGGGACGGAAGACCTGGGTTCCAGTCCATACCCCGCCACTCGTGGCTGGGTGACGGCTTCAGGCAGCCCAGATCTGTCGGTTATCTGATAGGTGGGTTTGCGCCTCCGCTCTGGCGGAGGGACTTTCTGCCCGCGCTGACCAAATCCCAGCTCTTAGATGCCTTGTTTCCCCCCCTCCCCCTCCCTCGCCTCCTCTCCCCCCTCTCCCCTTCCCTTCCCCCCCTTCTCCTTTCTTCTCTCTC